CACAGACACAATATGTTAAAATGCTCTCTATTGAGTATGTGTGCAATATGGGTACGGTCCGCGAGGACGTTCTCCTGCACCAAACCGGTTTTGATGATTGCATTTCCATCCTGACAGCATAGCTGGGGGTTAGCTGTTTTACCCACACAGCAGCCCAGTGGTGTAGGCTAGGCTGAGAGACAGTGACTGGCTCAAGGGCACCAGAAATCAAGACACGCTGGAATCCTCTCCCCCCGTTTGAGACCACACAGTTCATTCATTTTCAGCGTCTATTTTGTTTATTACGAGGTATCGGTGAGAGTGCTGTCGAGTCACTGCTGACTTAGGGAGACCCCAGAGGGTCTTCAAGCCAAGATTAGCAGATAACTTGCATAGCGTTAAAAGTCAGAGCAGCTGCCTCGGCGCCATCTTGGGGAGCTCCCCTTCAAGCCAAGAGACATACGGAGTTGGTTTGCTATTGCGTGGCTCTGTCTAGTGACCCTTTGTACTGACTGGGGCCGACCCTGCTTAGACTTCTGAGGTCGGATGACATCCAGGTCAGGGCATTATGAGGTATGAACTCACATATATACTCTTAAAAGATGCGGGTTGGGTTTTTTTGCAATTTAAGATTGTATGGGAATATTGTATATGCGTGCGTGGGGGACTGTCTAGGCCATAACAACAACAACAACAAAATACAGACATAGCTTCGGAAAATCAAACTGTCAATGTAACCATATGTCTACTATGACTCATGGAATACCAAGACTATTTAGTTGCCCTTACAACAGTCAGCCAAGTGGGCATCTCGAATCTGTCTTTGAAGCTTCCTGTAATGTCTTAGGCCCAGTCTTGCAATGGCCTCCAAATGGAGTGAAAGTGGACCGGAGCAAAATGTGAGCCACTTGGCTGGGTCTGAACCATTTTTCCTGTGCCAAGCATCCACGAAAACATGACCCTCAGGCGGAACCTGTGAAAAGCAAGACTGGCGACAACTCTTGCCTGCATGCGGAAGGTCATGCACAGCACAGGAAAGGGACTCGTTCAAAGAGACGTTTGGCAATCCATGTTTTCAAATTTCTACTGGGCATACAGAATACGTTTTGACATGCATGTTTATTGTGGCTCACCTATCCAGGACCTGGAAATAGTTCAAGAGACTGCATCAGGGGCTTGCAGAGGATGCCTTGGAGATCCCGGACACCTCAAGCGCCTGGTAGGAGTAGCATATACAGAACACAAGAGAATTGGGTGCTCTGGTGTCTCCCGGGGGCTTTGCCAGGTCCCCTAGGTATACCCCAAATCAGGAAAGGGGTGATCATCCCAGAGATCTCTGTCACTTGTCCTGCTGGGCCAAAATTGGATGGAATAGAACCCCCCACTCTCCAGGGCTCTTTTTAGACCCCTGAAAGCAGTGTTCCCTCTAACCTGAGTTAGTATGAGCTAGCTCACTGGTTTTTAGCCTCTGGCCCACACGTTTTAGTCTTAGCTCAGGCAGGATGGCTACAGAGCAAACTAATTCCCCCAAGAGCACTACGGTCTGGGGCCCAAAATTTACTAACTGTACCGGGCCCCAGAGATGCGAAACTGGCCGCTACAAGGGCTAGGGCTTTTTCGGTGGCAGCCCCTACCTGGTGGAATGAGCTCCCGGAGGAGATCCGGGCCCTGCGGGACCTGATGCAGTTCCGCAGGGCCTGCAAGACGGAGCTCTTCCACCAGGCTTTTGAGTAGGGGCTGCCCCCCCGCCCCCTTGTTATATTGTCATCATTGGGGGCGGAAGAGGCCCTAGGAAGAAAATACCTTGAAGAAAACACCTTGAATATTTGAATGCTGAAACCACTGAACGATTATGGGGAACCCTGGACCTGGCCCGTCATCTTGTGAGGTTGTTGGAAATGAAGATCAACGAGCGCTTTAAGTTTAAATCTATACTGGGTTTTAAATTGTATAATTATTTTTAACTATATGAACTATGTTCTTCTGTTTGCAAGATCTCTTGCCTTGTTAGCCGCCCTGAGCCCTACGGGGGAGGGCGGGGTATAAATCTGATAAATAAATAAAATAAATAAATAAAAATAATTTATTGTAGTAGCCAAATCACTTGGTCGTAACTTTAATGCCAGTAGCTCACAAAGTAGGATTTTTGCTCACAAGACTCCACAGCTTAGAGGGAGCACTGCCTGAAAGGTATGCAAGAGAACCATGTCCTGTGCCCTCAGACTTGTTGCTGCGAAGGGGATGGGAGTGGCTGAGAATGGAAGGAAGGGAGCTGCACCACCCCATGCCCAAGGCCCCACAAAGGTCCACGCCCAGCCCTTAGACCCTTATACACATTCTCACAGTAATTTTTATAAAGCCTTGGGTCCTGACTGGTTCCCACCCCTTCAAAAGTTTCTTTACCAAATATTGTTTCTCTTTCTAATATTTATTGTTTGCCAATAAAAGAGGAGGAGGAGGAAGAGGAGGAGGAGATTGGATTTATACCCCGACCTTATCTCAGAGCCTCAGAGCGGCTAACAAACTCCTTTCCCTTCCCCTCCCCACAACAGACACCCTGTGAGGTAGGTGGGGCTGAGAGAGCTCTTTCCAGAACTGTCCTTGAGAGAACAGCTCTGACAAAACTATGGCTTGCCCAAGGTCATCCAGCAGCTGCAAGTGGAGGAGTGGGGAATCAAGCCTGGTTCTCCCAGATTAGAGTCTATGAACTTAACCACTACACCAAACTGGCTCTCACAGAACTGCCCTTCAGAGAACAGCTCCAAGAGAACTTGTGACTGACCCAAGGTCACACCAGCAGCTGCCTGTGGAGGAGTGGGGAATCAAACCCCAGTTCTCCCGGATTAGAGTCCATGCTCCTAACCACTACACCAAACTGGTTAGATGTGCTAACCCAGGGGGTCCGCAGCTTTTTGAGCCTTGTGGGCAACTTTTGAACACTGACACAACATGATGGGTACAGCCAGAAAGTAGCTGCCATAAAATGGCTGCCATAGGAGGCGGGGCTAGTCACAAAATACCTGCTGCAGCACAAATTAAAAACCCCCCCAAAACCAACTGTGTATGAATTATATGCAAAATAAATTCTACTAAATAAAGAATAATGAATGTACAATTCCACTGTGTAGTGGTCATTTGCTTGATACAATCATAAAGACATCAATTTCCTATGTCCATAAACTGGTATACAATCGATTGTCCATATACATCAAAGTCCAATAGGTTTTACCAGCAAAGCTTTTCCAGATGAAAGATCCACAACGAACACTTTCAAAGTGGAATCAGGAATTCCACCGAATGTGCTAGCCGACTGATTGTCTCGTTTCACATCGTAGCTTTTTCAAAGGAAGGCCAGTATCCCATGATTCTCTATGCCCATCTCAGAAGAGAACACTCCGTAAAATTTCTGTGTTGCATTTCCTTGCAGCAATAGTTTGAAAAACTATAGCTGCAAGGAAATTCAACACACAAAAATCAATTCGCACCACTCCTGAGGTCCTGCAGGGAGGCAGGGCGAGGAGGACCAGGCCGCGGGGGATGGTGGCTCTCTCTTGTAATAATAATAATAATAATAATAATAATAATAATAATAATAATAATAATAATAATAATAATACTTTCCATTTATTAATCGCTTTCCCCAGTGGATTTCCCACATGAATTGGGCATTTGCTTCGTATGTACAATCCTTCCCCCACCAAAGGTACTATCCTATCCCCCAATTATACCGAAGAAACACAAACATATTTTCTTATTTCTTCCCTATGGGTAGAAGAATATCACCCTCAAGAAACATGTCCTAAAAGGGAATTTCAGCTCCTCCGGTCCAGTGCAATAGCTGCAGAGGTACCAACACTCAACTCGTTCACACAATCCAAGGGCCTGTCCTTCAGAACCTAAAGAATTTAATAACCTTTTAATAACATATTGCCGTGTTATGAAATCTGTTTTAACTTTCCAGTAATTTGGGAAATGACCGGAATGCAAATGGCGGGTGTTGAAAGCCACGTCTGTTTATGACAGGTGACAGAATAGGGCGACAGTGACGGGTGAGTGTTCACAGCCTCCAGTGCGGCTGCTGTCGTGGGACTCTGAACGGATCCCCGATTAATGAAGGCTCCCCCTTGTGATCAAAAGTCAACGACATCAACTGTTCATTGTTTGACCTTACAATCATGTTTACTGGTTGTTCTCAAATCTCGCCCAGGTGTGGGCTTCCAAAAAGGCCCTAAATATTTTCAAGCCAGTTTGACTTATTGTTTTATGGGGTTTTGGGGAGCTGTGCGAAGGCAGTGCCGCTCATAAGAATTTAGCAGGATTAGAATTGCCACCCCTAGACTCTGAAAGCCCTTTTACATTTAGAGACAGCCCATAAAGTGAAGATTTTACCCAGTGCCCCCTTTCCCTTCTACGCAGAGGCAAGAAGCTGTGCCTGGAAGAATTT